CGGTGGAGGGACTATAAGCTAATCTCGGGCAGTGAGGTCTTGGGCAAGGACACATGCATGCCCATAGGCCTATGGCCACCATTGTGTGCACACAGGTACCCTTAGTTCACAGGATGTGGGCAAGGGAGTAGGGATGGCTCACAGCAGCCCATTGTCACCACTAGAGACCCTCAGGGTGCAACAGTTAGGAGAGAGTCCAGGCTACCTGCTACCACCTGCGTGGGCCCCACCACTCAGCAGCCGACACCTCGGATGCGTTACTTAACCCCCATCTCTGGGCTTCAGTTTACTCACCGGCAGAACGGAGATTACAAAGTAGCCACCGCACAGGGTGACTGAGGAAGTTAGAAGTAAAAACGTGTAAAGCCTTGGGACCCACTGGTCTGGGCTGTCAGGCTCGGGCGGTGATGACCGCAGCTCTGCCTTGGGAGTCGGGGGCCCAGGCTGGAGTCTCAGCTCCGCGGGCAGGCGAGCTGAGCCTCAGTGTCCTCATCTGTAAATGGGGCCACCTGCCCCACGGGACTCCCAGCAGCACACCGGAGGTCAATCGCAAAGCCCCTGGCAGAGCCAAGATGCCTGTCCTTAAAGCTGTCACCACCAAAATGGGGGGCAGCAAATGGGTCTCTGTGTCTGGGCTCCATACCCCAAGAGGGTAAGGGACCCGAGGTGGGCTCACAGAGGGACCCCGAGACCCCAGGGTTTCAAGCTGTGGGGATCTGGGACTGTGGCCTGGGGCAGCCGGAGCCACCTGCAGGCTGGGCTCTGCCTCGGTCCCCTCAGTGACCTTGACCTCCCCTCCCATCAGTGACCTTGACCTCCCCGAGGCCCCTCATGGCCCGGGGCTTTGTCTCTTAAAAGTGGAGCCCACACCTGCTCAGACCATCCCAGGGGCTGCTACACGCAAGGAGCCAGGTCATGGGTGGCAGCGACAAGGCCACAGTGGTTACAAGGATGAGATTTATTGGAGCTCTGAGTTCAGATCCCAGTCTGCACTTGCCGGCAGGACAGTGAACACCTTTTTCACTGGTTCCTGGCAAGCAGAGTTCCCACGGGGATGGGAAGAGGGCTGTGCGGGTGTGCAAGGTATTCCACAGAGTAAGCCCTCCGTGCACACTGGCCACCGTTATCTTTACGACGGTAACAACGTCATGCTTGGGTGATAGGGGAGAGTTCTTCTCTAGGGGGGGGTCATCTCTTTAAAGATGGCTGCCATACTGGCCGGGCAGGCAGACCCCCAAAAGGTGCCCTTTCCTGCTACACGACGCAGAAGGGCCACAGTCAGACAGGATGAGATGCTGGGAGCCAGGGCGGAAGCCCCAGCTCGAACTGCAGGGTGTGTCTCAGCCGATCACGCTCACTACCGGGACCACCCTCTGCCTCTTCCTCATCACTTTTCAGAATAAAGTCAAGGCCCTAAGCAAGGCCATAGATGACACACACCCCTCCCCATTGACCGCCCCCCCACTGGCCTCAACAGCTCCCACCTACCCTCCCCCCCCTGGCCTCAACAGCTCCCACCCCCTGACCCACACCTTACAGGGAACTCTGCTCCAGCCTCACGAAGAGCTGTCAGGCCTGCGACCATGCCAACTCGTCTCACATCTCTAGACCTTTTGCTCAGGCTATTTGCTCCCTCCAGGTAGAATTCTCTTTCACAATCAGCAAGCAAACTCCTACTCAACCTTCAAAACCTAGACCCAGTTCTTCCTCTGTGAGTCCTCCCCAGATCCATCTCAGGCAGTGGCTCTCAAGCCTGGTGGTGGAGCTTTTTAAAAAAATAGATGTGACCCAGGCCTAAGATTCAGTAGTTCAGGGATGTGGCCAGGGAGAGGCTATTATCAAAGAGCTCAGGTGACCCTGGGACACATACAGCCCCTATTATAACTGCCTCCCTCACTAGACTGACCTCTTTTTTCATCTCAGTGTCTGGAGCCCTGGCCCACGTGCGAGACAACAGCTGCTGAGCTGCACTGAACTGAGGCCAGAGGCCAAGAACCGAAGAGCCTGGGAACCTCGCCCTGCTTGGGACCTACTCTGTGGAGTCCGTGAGGCTGGGGCGTCCCTGGGCCTGGGGCAGCTGCAGGTGTGGGACTTCCTGCCCAATGGAAAGAGGAGCCCAAGTCCAGGTGAGAACTTCAGCCACCGCCCCCCGCCGCCTCCCAGTGTCCTCCGCTCCGTCCAGGAAGACAAGAGGAAGAGGCAGGGTGCCAGCTGGACAGTGGGAAGTGGGATCCACAACTAGTGTCTGCAGGGGGGGCAGGACACCCACGCTCTGCCCTCGCAGGCTCAGCACAAGTGGCCTTCGGCCACAAAGTCGGGGGCAGGTGGCTCCTGGGGCTCTAGAGAGATGAGGCGCCCAATCCAAGAAAACACCAGAGGAGCTAGGGCAAGAGGAGCATGAGCAGAACTCAGCGCCCAGGAAGAGAGGCGTGAAGGGCTCAGGCTGGGTCCAAGGACCCAACTTCAAACAATCTGCAGCTCTCCAGGGCAAGACTTCGGAAAGTTCTTGTTTTTGTTTTATTGATTTCTTGGAGGAAGGAAGAGGGAGAGATAGAAACATCAATTGCTGGAAACCAAGATCAACAGTAATTAATATAAATGCGAGAAGTCCACCAGAAGGCTGAGTTTGGACTCCTTTGATATTCACAGGGTGAATTTGCATTTTATTACCTAGGGCTGACTCAATGGCCTAAAGCAAACTCCCCCCTAACCTGATAATCTTACTGTTTACTAAACATTACCATTGATGTGTCTGTTTGCATTCCTAAAAGGCACTTGAATATTCTAGTAAATAAAAGCAGACTGGAATGGAGACTCAGTGGAACTTGACTTCTCCAGTGGAGTTTTCCCCTGGCTTCCCCCCATAATTTCAAAATTAATTTTTCTTGTCTTGTGTGTCAATTTGCGCATCAGCTCTTTCTCCAAGCCTTTGAACCCGCTGTCCGTGGCTTTTCACAATCAATAATGAGAG